CCGGTGGTGGCATGATATCGAGTGGCATGGCCGATTTCATGCGGACGAAATTCGTGGATCCACCCAGTTCTCCATGCTTGCCCATGCTTTCCGCCGGTTCCGATGGCACCCGCGAGCAGGTTTCCGTTTGTTTTGTGGATGTCCTAGCTCACATAGCATTGCGGAAATTCTGTCGCTGGAAGAGGCAGGCCCTCCAAATGTTATCGGACGCAGGCATGAACCACTTAGGGCACGTCGACTGTATATCGTCCTTTTCCGGATGAATGGGCATCACAGGTTTCTCGCCGATGCAAGTACGGGACCTGCGAGCTCCCGAATTGCTTGCGCCGGCGCCGCTGCAGGTCTTTGATTTACCAGGTTGGACTTATCAGCCAGACCATCGCATGTCCAACTGCCCCTGTCGCAAGCTTGGCAGGGAGCACAGAGACTGAGACGGAGAAGGATTTAAGCCCCCGTTTTGGCAGAGGCACAACCTGCAGGATGGTACTGGAGGGGTAAGCACCCCACCCTGAACCCTCCGAAGACTGAGACCCAGGTAACCCAGAGACGACGCAGAGTGCTTGTGCGCTGCGCAGGTTCCGTCAGAAGAAGTTCCGCGAACTGGAGCTGGAGCAAAACTTCAGGCACCAAGCCGAGTCGCTTTCAAGTCTGGTGCCATCTGGTACCGGAGTGTGTCACCTTGAGTTGGCTGGTCCCTATCTGTAGCTATACATTTGAGGTCTCGTCCGTTTTCAATTGCTGCGAAGTCTGATGCGCATGAAGAGGAAACCAAATGGGTTCTGTCGGTTCCGAGCTTCCCAGCTTTGTGGCACCGTCGCAAGTTTGCATGAATCCGACCTGCCAGCAGAGACATCGCCGTTCGAGTCAAATTTGGGGATACTGATGTCCTGTAATTTAAGCTTCCAGATGGACTGCCCAGAGCTTTTCACTGTGAGGCCTAGACAGAAGCTCGTCTGCTGCGAGCTGCAGCAAAACATCTATGTCAGTGGCAGGTGGTTGCGGTGCTTGTGTGGCCGATGCTTTTTCAAACTTCGTGATTTAGCAGTTGGCGTTGCGCCAGGCTTCATGGAGAAGAGTGGGTCGTTGGCAAGCTTTGGCAAGGATGAGCAAGGGCTTCGTTCGCCGCGAGGATGACGGGCTAGACTCGAAATTCCGGGCACGGCATAAGGTCGCTCCGGTTCGTGGAAGAGCATGCTTGGAATCGACTGAGTTGCTTCCAGCTTGCACTGAGAAGCTTCTCAGGGAGATGCTTCAAGTCGTTTGCAGCTGTTGCCTGTGCTGCTATTTCATGCATGCTTTAGTCCCGACTTCCTGGCACAGCCAGAAGTCAGTGGCCAGCCCAAAAGTTGATGCAGGGCCATCGCAGAATTACCGACTTCCTGCGGCTCCTTAAGGGAGCAGACGGAAGGACTCCAGTTAGATGCATGCGACGAGCGACAAGTGGTACGAGCGCGAATCGAGCAATTCGAACAAACGTCCGATGTGCTATGGCAGGCACAGGCGGCCAAGCCTGGGTGACGACTCGCCTGTGCTGCTTGGCAACCAGAGCGTCTGTGACACTGGCTGACCAAACCAAACACGGAGGAGATTGTAGGGTGAGGCTTTCAGAATTGGCTCGAGACCTTCGCTGTACCCAGGGCGAGCGTGGACTTTGGCATCATGGGGTTCAAGGCCCCGGTGCGTGGCAGCATGGCATTCGGTCCGGGACCTGGTTCTTCGACTTGGGAGAAATTTGGCTCCACTCAGCCGCGCAGTGCGCCGCAGGCCACACGATGTCAGAGCGACTGCCAGAAGGCCGCGAAGGCCCAAGATCCAGATCCAGCCAGAGCCTCGGCAAGGCCCCGAGGCTGACGAAGCTGCACCGGTTCGAATTCGAATTCCGAGGCTCTGCAAGTCCTGTCAAGAACGCACAGGGCGAGTACATTCCACCGCCCCTGCCCTGATTCCTCTAATTCGACCGCGCCGACCGCGATGCGCATAGAATCAGCGCCTCAAGCCTTGGAGCGCTCGTCTCAGAGAGTCTGAGGCACGCGCGACCTTTGCCGAAGGGAGAGCGCTATGACCCCTCGCAGGACAGCAGTGCCCCCACACCTGCTGATGCAATTTTCTACCTTCCGAGCATTAGGGCTGTAGAATCAACGGTTGCAGCATTTGCGGGCAACCGTCGGTGGCGGCATCTTGACATGTTGCGATGAGGAGAAGTCCTATCTCCAACAGCTGCAGCAGATCCTGGGCTGCAATCACTCTACCGCAAGCAGCGACAACACAGAGAGAGGGAGATCGAGACATATGCCCATGCTCTGACCACATGTAGTTTGGCTTCGTTGTGAGATTTCAGCGCGCATCCCATACAATGTGGCGGTGCTTTGAGCGCGAGGGCAGGGGCTGGGACCTTTGCCCTCTACCCTTCTGCAGGAAAGATAGACGAGAGCGCGAGAGAACCACTTTGTCGGTGATGGGAGACCGGGTCAGTGCGCTGCTCTCAGGATCAGCCAATCAAAAGAGAATGCATCGCAGCCAGCGGCTCATTCACAAGACGTCTGTCTGGCAGCAGGCCAATTCAACTCTGTAGGGAGTAGACCAGCATTGCCTCGTGTAGACGTTTGGTGTGACATTCGACCGGACGAGTCTCAGTGTTGCTTCGAAGCATCCGAGGAAAAGCCAGCCCGTCCTGAAGTTCAAGCGCGCCGTCGACCTTATTCGTAAGGCCCGTTAGGCTTTCTGCTTCCTGGTTGCAAGTTGTAGCTTGGCACTGTCGCATCCGCACGGGCGCAGGCTCACCCGGAGACTCGTGCATCTTTGCACACGACTGAAAGAACTCGACATGGCTCGGTGTTGATGTAGCGTGGACTGAGTTCCCAGGCTCGGAGACAAGGCAGTGGCACCTGCTGCAACGTCGTGGCCTTGATTGAAGTTGCCCAAAAACCAAGAGGATTCACCACCGAGAACGCTCTGTGATTAGTTTCGGATGCAAAGGATGGCAGAAACAACAACATCTTCAGGGTGCGTCCTGTGATTGTATGTGTGGTAGTCCCACCTTGGTGATGTTGCGGTTGCGGTTCGTGTGCAGGAATCCTTCAGCTCTGGCACGTTTCCGCCACACGGTCAGCGCCGCCGAGATCTTGGATTTCAGGGCCCAAAAAGTCTTTTCCTGTCTGGTGCATAGACTTCACAGCTTGTCACGAAGGTGCAGAAGACTCTGAAGCAAACTGTTGCCAGCGATATGGAGCCGAAGCTTGGGGCCCCAGCTTCTGGCATTGGCACAGTGTGTGCGAAGTGAACTCGCTTGAGTCGCCGAACGAGCTCAAGCGCGTGCGTGCCTTGGTGGTGCCCACACAATCGATCTGTTGTAGCTTGCACCTTGCTCTGAAGGCTGGCGCCGAAGCTGCAGGCAGCCCGGCCCACCCTGAGGAAATCTCCCAGCGCCGACAGGCGACATCAAAGTCCGTCGAAGATCAGATGGTTTCGGCTGGCCGTCCCTGGAGGCTGAGCGAGCCGAGCCCCCGGCCGAGCCTGGGGCCGAGTCCCAAGGCGAGCCCGAGGCCGAGTCCAAGGCCAGCCGAGTCCGTGGGCCTCTCTCCGATGCTGCGCGCAGCACCGTACGATGGCTCACAACGAGAAAGAACCGTGCAACAAGCAAGAGGGACTTGCGGTGGGGAGAATGAGTTACCGTCTCCTGCCAATCCCACCACCCGGTCAGTCGAACCTCAAGTTGAGTGTCCCTGCCGCCTCCAAGTTGAGCCATGTGCTGGTGCCGTAGAATTCTCTGGAAGCATCAACAGGATTCGACACAAATGTAAGTCCGGGCCCCCACAGTGACAGGGAACATTTTATCCGACTGCCCATGCAGCCAGTTGTCACGCCCAGTCTTCGACATCGTTGATTCTGATAGCTGCTTGCCTGCAGGCTCAACGGTGCCCAGCTCATCCGACTGGGCCTTTGTATTCCAGTGCTGCAAGAGGTTGAAAGCATATCATCTCTTCCGGGGATGCAATCTAGAAGCTGGCCGTGCAGCTGAGGCGGAAGCGATGATGGAGATCGATCACCGACCATTCACATAGCACCGCCAAAGACTCAGTAACAGAGGATGACTTGCTGTTTCTCCTGCTCCAACGAAATGGCGGATTCGGCCCGATTTATTCGATTGTTTCACTGTAAGTTTTTTGATGCTGAAATTTTTGGGGAGTCGGGTCTTATTTTTAGACGACTATTTGGGTAAGAGTGGCTTGCTGGCATCAGTGTTGATGCTGTTTTCTGTGCTTGCTATGCCGATTATTCGGATGCAGGGAGCAGCACACATCTACGCACGCCCACAGAGGGTTCCGATGGGAGCAGCGCGCATGCCGCAGTGCATCCGTTCGAAGCGGCACTGCATGTTCGCAGCGAGGTCTGATGAAATTCGGCGCAAGCCAGGGGCCAAGAACTGTGGGTGAGCGGTGGAAGCAGGAATCACGTTGGAGACTAAGGCTGGGTTTAAGCCCGAAGGGCAGTCCTGTTCCAGCGCAAGCTTCCGGCAGGCCACATGCCCGGGAAGCCTCCGTCAGACGATAAGCTAAGCCATGGGCCTTGGATCCAAGGCCGCAAGATTCACCATTTCAGATGGAAGCTGGTGGCATGCATTGAACTTAGCCATGGCTGACTTTGGTGGTGCACGAGCTGCAGTTGATTTTCTCTGAGGTCGGAAGACTCGGCTCCTTCCCGCAGAGTGTCGACCAACACGCCCAGCACTCACAGAAGGTCCGCGGCTGTGTCTCTGGGCTCCTGCAGCATAAGGCTGAGCGAACCTCGGGCTGCTGGTAGCCCGAAGGTGAGCCCGCGTCCGGCGGTGGCGTCCGGCAGCAGGCTCTCAGCCCTAGCCATTGGTTTGCGTAGGCGGCCTGGTCGTCGTTGTCGTCGTCGTCGTTGCTGTGGCCTTGTGAGCAGTAGTGACGTAGTGGGAGGAGGTGGAGGCTGAGGCGAGGAGGGACGGAGGGGCCGAGTCGTAGTCGTGAAGTCGTAGTCGTAGTTGCAGTCATAGCGGCATAGAAACATTAGTGGTGGGAACAGGAGGCACAGTAGGGAGCACCAGAAGAAGCAGCACGTGCTGCAGCAGCAGCCGCGGCAGCGCATGCCGTGCGTGAATAGCTCTCTCCACCAATAATCTGGAGCTCGTGCTGGTTGGTTTGTTCCATGACTCGGAGACAGGTGGTCAATTCTACAGAAGAAGCGATTGGGCACGCGAGCAATGGAACCGCCGAGCCGAGGTTGCAAGAACCAGTCTCTCAGCATGAACCGGTGGGCAGGTGACAGTCCCAGCTCAGCAGCAAGTAGGTTCGAGCTGTGCGCCCGGCTAACCAGCTCAGGTTCGAAGAGCCACTCGCTTCTCAAACGACTTCTGCCGGAATGTATAAGGCTCAGACAGCATCCCGGATGTCTCATGTCTTCATCTGTTTGGCGTTCTTTGAGCGGCCAGCTCCGATAAGGTTGGCCGAGAAGTCTTTCGTGGCTCATGGAGCGTGGAGCGGACCTGAGATGCAGTGCTGTCGCGGATAGCACGGGAGTCCGGTAGGCTTGACTGCAGAGGAACGGAGAGTCGCGCGCGACCACTGCAAGCTCGGCTGGGGTGCAAGGGGCTTAGGCTGTTTATGTCCTGTTAGCCACTCTCCACTTGAGAGGGGTGAGCTCAAGGCCATCCAGCCATGATGAGCCAGTTCATGCCATTGAATGGACTCCATACTTCACCGGTCTTGCTGGACGTGCGGAGTGCAGGCCAGGCGAGTCCAGAGCAACGACTGCGGGCTCCGCCAACCTACATCAGCTCTTTTCTCAGCTGACTTTCTCTGCAACTTTCCCGATTCGAGTGTCCCCTCAGTTGTTCATCGCTGTTCAGGCTTGGGGATCCTTTTCCTGCAAAGGGTACCATGTTGCCGGCGCTGCCACACACTCGGCTAGCCTTGACGGTGAGGCAGGCCTTTGCATGCTGTGTTGGCAGCTCGCTGGCTTGAAGGACAGTTGAAACCCGCGGGCCTACATCGCTAAGCACGCGAGAGCCTCTGAGAGCCTCTGGGCCCTTCGCTTGCAGCAGTCTTGCCCTTCGCTTGATATGTCCGAAGGCTTGAGGAACAGACAGCTCCGAAACTCGCTGGCTTGCCCGAGCCCTAGCCCTCCCGGCCCTCCCTTCGTGGGACTTCAAGTTTGGCTGCAGAGAGGACGGCTGGAGAACCGCGGATGCCTTCAAGCGGTTCTGGCAGCCAGCAGGGTCCACAGCTGTCCACAGTATCAGAATCGGTCTTGTCTTACGGCTGCAAAGAGCTTCTTCGAACTCTCAACCCGACAGATCGCGTCGCCGCTTCTGAGGATGGTCGATCCACGTGGAGCTTCGTATGGGTGCGAGTCTCAAGCACTGGCGATGCTGAAACGAAATTTCCGGGTTAGCTGACTCATAAACAAATCCTCCGTAGATCGTCGCATATTCATGCCATCAGGGACCTGCTACTTTTTGACTTCTCCGAACGGAGTCGCTGGAAAATTCACGTTCAATTCTGCTTGTGTGTTCGTGGAGGCCTTGGGCGAGGCTGCTCCCTGCCCTTTGCAAGTTCTGAAATTGAAGTAGCCTTTGACTTTTCTGACACCACGTGCTGTTGCCCTTGGCGACTGGTTTGTTTGTTTCTGTGTTTGTGTGTGTGTGGGTGAAGGGAACGCGCACCCACAGGTTTGTGACGAAGTAGGCTTCGTGCACATGTCGTCGCACAGTCTCTTTTAATGCAAAGCCCAAAGCCGGCGTCCCAGTCCCAGACAAGATTACGCCGCAGCCCCCTCATGAGCTCGCAGGATCTGTGGGATCATGGGACTGTTTAGTGATGTCGTGGTCATGCCTCGTACCTGCTCTTTGTAGTCTGTCAAAGGAAAGCTCAGGCCTTTTCTGTTCTTTCGTGGTGTCGTTTGAGAATAAGTTCTCCGCTCTCCATGTCAGCATCCATCTCGCAGAATTTCCCTCAGAAAGGTTTGTGCCAAACCGTCAACACTGGCGGACATACAGAATTCCCAACAGCGACTCGTGCAATGTGCAATCTGTGACGTGTTTTTCCTATCTCTCTCTCTCTGGCAGCGTTCACATGAGGTCATGTAAGCTGAGTCAAGGCCACGCGTCTGCCGCCCAACCTGTCTAGGACTGTTGCCTTGACAGTACACATCGCGCTCCCTCGGTGAATCCAAGAGGGCACGGGCTCAATAGTAACAAGGCTTGCCCCTCACCCGTCAAAAATGATGCTAGTGTGTTTGTCCTAAAGACAATGCACAATCGCGGTCGTGTGGAAGTCCGAAAAATTAACGCGGATAGACTCGGGTAGAGAGAGACTCGGTCTTTGCGAGTCTCTGCGGAAAGAGACTACCGCCTACAGTCTTTGTGGAGTCTTTGGCCGGATATGCCTGCAGCTGTGCAGGAACGAAATACGTGTTGGTCAACGTGTCCTGCCTCGCGCATCAGAAACGCTGAGCACAAGTAGGGTTGCATTTTCGCTGTTTCCCTTGAAGCCCTTGTGTGACGAGTGCGTTTTGCAAGCACATGGATGCATGCCCGGAGCCCAAACTGGCCTGGTTTGCATCCTCACATCGTAATCCAGGCATTGTTTACTCACGATACGTCGGTGGGCAGCATTGTCCGTCACTTGTCAGGGCACGTTTGTACCGGCCACTTTCGAGAGCCACAGAGTGTTGAGGAAGAAGCTGAGCTTTGTGCACCAGTCGTACTAAAACTAGTCAGAGCTGGCCAGCTTTACGACGTATAGACATCAGGCCGAGTGATGCATCGCCTCGCTCATCGCAGCGAGTGCCTCGAAGATCATGGAAGCAGTGACCCAGTGCCTAAGGGAGCGCAGTGCGAGACTTGCGGAGCACATTCTCGCAGGGCTGCTTCCTGGGCGGCAGCTGCTGTCGAAAAAAGCATGCGGGGACCTCGAGTCCTATGGCATGTTCAGGCATCCGTGAGCAGACCAGTCTGGCCCGCACTGTACTGCACCGTGACTTTCAGCAAACAGCTGGCCGCGTCGGCCATCCTCCTACCTCCATAGGGAGCTGCGGCACAACCTGCCCAGGCATGAAGGCGCACGGAAGCCGCCCCAACCCTCAGATACCGCTCGTGCGGCAGGGCTCCGTGAAGACAGGTTTGGTGTTCTGTTGTGAGGAGGCGTTGATCTGGAAGTTGCTTGTCGTGCCCGCAGCGTGCAGTTTTGGTTCGAGGAGGTGAGCCAAAGCACTCTGGAGGGCTTCCCACCGGGCCCCCCAGGGGGCGCTGAACCTTGTCTTGCTAGTCAATCAGAGTGCAGTCTCCTTCTGGGAGTCTTAGGTCTTATAAGGGGTGCCAGGCGGCGGCCTCCTGGAGAAGCTCAGGTCTTCCTCCACCATGGGCCGCCGAAAACAAGAAACAGAAGAAGAAGAAAGCCCTTCAGATGCAAAGATGCAACGTGCTTTTTGCGCGGCCGTAGCGTGTGTGCTTGCCATGTGCGTGTGTACGTGCCCGGACTGCCAGGCGAGTATGAATACGAGTACGAAGAGGAAACAGTGTCTGACAGCGCCGAGAGCGACCGCGCCAAAAAGGCAGCAGAGGGAGAGAAACGAGATGCTTTGGCAGCCATAGCCCATAGCGACCGACCTGAGCTTCTGTAGACTGTAGATCATGCATGAACACGAGGTGCGGGAGACAAAGAAGGAATCTAAGAAGGAAGCACGCGACCGAGATCGTGATCGAGACAAGAAGAGGCATGGCTTCAGAAGTGCGTGGACCCGGGTTTGTTTCAGGCCGATTGAATCGAAGGTCTTCCGTGCCAGTCCACGGGACTGACTGTCCTGAAGTGAATTTCATGCCGGTATCCGCTCATCTCTTTTAAACTGCCCGGCCCTCCTAGAGCTCCTAGGCCTATCCGCTGGCCAGAAGCCGACGTTGAAGGATGTGTAAGTAGGTGCAACCAACCAATCGCCGAGAGTGCTTGCAGGTCAAGAGATCGAGACAACGACAACGGTAGGTCAAGAGATCGAGATAGAGACAATGGCAAAAGCCGCGGCAGAAGCCGGGAGAGAGACCGGCGAAGGCAGGATTCTCAAAGTGCTTCCAAAGTTGCTAGGTTCACTCCTTTGCGACATACGTTTGCAGGGGATTCTTGTCCAAAGTTGATGTTTCCGCTGAGGATTGGTTGCAGGAAGTGTTCCGGTGACATTGCTATGCTAGGTTGATTTTGATCTCGGTGGCCTTGCCCTGTCCAGGCGGTCAAGGTCTCGTAGCGCTTCCAAAGATGAGAACCGAGTCCCATCTCCAACGTATTCCACGGAGGACCAGGGAAGCTATGAGGAAGAACGAGTGACCCGTGGTGAAGAAGACGAGTTCATGAAACAAGAGACACATGTTAAGAGTACTCGGTGGAGATTGAGGTTAAGAAGGGCCGCCAAGCCTGTCTTGTAGGGCTTTGAGACTGTGAGGTGAGGGGGCTCAGGGCTGAGGGTCGCTGTCTGGAACAGCAGGACTTGTGGCGCAGACTCCAGCACCTCGGTACCTGGAAAGGATTAGGCGCGTGGGGCCTGCTTCTTGCAGAAGGGATTGCAAGTCCTTTAGCGCTGGCGGCCCACCAGATTGGTCAAGCATCTGCTTCAGCCTTCAGTAATTTTTGTTAGTGTAAAGCGGTCAACCACCCAAAACCACTCAGCTGGGAACGAGAAGCATGGACTGCCAGGCAAGAAGGAGAAGATGAGGGGCAAACTTAGCGGGGCGGAGAAAGATGATCTTAGATCCTTGGAGAAGAAGCTGGAGAAGCGGCTCAACACTGGCTACCGCAACTGGTCAAGTCAGCAAGTCAGCCAAGTGCACAACTGGAGCCGACAAGCTGCGCGATCAATGATCATAAGTCGCATGGCCAAGGCACCTCCAGTATTCGCACCGTACGGCACCAAGTGTGCACACATGCTGTTAGGAAGCCTGATCCTGCCATCCCCCGTCCGAGGCATTGATGATTCTCGAAATGGGTTTCGAGGTCAAGGAGGAACAGATGGGCAGACTGCTGGCGCAGTGCATGCAGCGGCCCGGAATAGTGCAGTGCTCAGGATGGAACATCACGTCCTTGCAGTGAAAGACACTGCGTCAAGATATCCCGTCAAAATTCCCAGGTGCAGATATGTATGACAATCAAACTGGTCCAGATTGTGTGGCACCCAGTGGGACGGCTGCGGCAAGCTGAGCTGTGAATCTTGTCGGAACGGCAGGAATCAGCCTTTGCTTGTCTCGAGGTCCCGACTGCGTTTATCCCGGTCGAGCATTTCCTGCGTGGTTTGGGTGTCCTTGTGCAGCGGAACTTCCCCGTGTCACTTTGCGCCGTTCGGAGGGCTTGCTGCTTGCATTGTGGCAGCTGTGCTGAGACCGTGTGGTGTTGCTGAGGCAGATTCTGAGAATGTGGCTCAACATGGGCTGCCCCAGGGATCAGCGGTCTCTGCGTGCACTTCCGTGGCTTGGCTGCATCCGCTCCTTCGGCACCAGGAGATATCCAGCGAATCCAGGGGCCTGTGTGCCCGGTGCCGAGAAAAGATGTGCTGGACGTGTCATTGAGCAGGTATGACTATGACGACGACGAGAAAAGGCGACCATGGTGCTTGTTGGGTTTCCTGCAGTATCTGTGCCATGTGCGCCTTGGTTGTTTCCTGTGTTACTGACCAGGATGGTGGCACAGGATCTCGAAGATGCCCTTGGTGTCATCACCGATGACGAGGAAGACCGTCGAGGGGCCGATCGGCGCGTGATTCTCGTCCAGGCCCGCCCCGGAGGTGTGCGGAAGAGTCGGTGCGGTCAAGGGTTGCGAGCGAGGAGTGCAAAGCTCGACCAGAGCTGAACGGCAAGTACGATGCTTGTCTGCATTATGGCCTCGACACCACTCATTGCGCCGCCAGGCCCACGTCCTCCGCAATTTCCTAAATTTTCAGGGCTCTGTCTGGTGGGTTGTTGTGAGGAGCGGTCATCAGATCTGATGGCACACGGCCGGCCTGTTTTCGAGAAGAAGGCGGAGGTGCGTAACCGAAAAGGCAAGGGCAAAGGCCCCCTCGAAGCAGCAATCAATGTCTCGGGGCGGTACAGGTTTTGCACGTATAGGTTTTGGATATGTAGTTTACTGAAGTCGGCACGCACCAGGCAAAGGAAAGCATGATGCGAACGAGATGAAGCGATTGCTCATGCCGCACATGTTGGATGATGATGACATCACCATTGAAGTCATGGTGATCCATTACAAGAAGGACGCAGCTTGATCTGAGTACTCCGCTGTTTCGTGTCGGACTGATGCCACATCTTCTTGTAAACCATGCTTGGGTTGTGTGCAGCACGGCTCTTGCAGGACAGGAATGGCATCAACACTGGTTGGTGGATTAGCAAAAACACTTGCACAGGCATGCTGCATGGTTCTGCGCTGCATTGCCACAGCATGAACCGCAATTGCGTCTTGCACAACCTAGACATAGACATCCTCGACGACTTGTTCCTACTCATTTGCTCGAGGCCCTGGTCTTGCCTGGAACGGACGAGACACCAAAGGTCCACCCACAGGTGGTTGGTTTGTCATCCGTGACCGTCAGAAGCTGCCAGATCCAGCCACTGAGCTTCATTGGCTGCAGTTGTCTTCTTCCTATTCAGAGGGTGGTGCTGCCGAAAGCACTTCTCTCTGAAGTTCCGAATGAAAATCCAAACCTAGCTCTCCAGGTCATGGTCCAAAAGTTCAAGAATCTAGTTTAGCATGCAACCGCCAGGTGAACATCATTGATCCGAAGCAAGCTAACGACGAAGCTGAGCTGCAATTCCGCTGGCATTCAGAATCAGGTTGGCCGGGCTGCCTAGCACGAACTCACATCCAGAGGTTAAGCCTTAGTCTTGATAGTGGGGAGGCACATGTGTGTACCTTTTCACTGGTGGTTGATCGTGAAGCAGCTAAGTAGCAAACGCAGGCGACAATGGATCTGGGCGGTGACTCGAAGTCTGCGGCGCCAGCAGCCAAAGAGAGTTCCAGAGAGCGCAAAATGATACACCCTGTACGGCGAACACATGCATAAAAACGATACTGCTGCTTATGGAGAAGCAGACGCAGCGGGGAAGACGAGACAGAACGCATCTGCAGCGGTAGACTTCATGTCGTTCGTAGGTAAGGCTTCATACTCTCTATCCCCGCAGGTGGTGCGTTGCGTTGCCCCTAGCCTTTTAGCACTCGCGCGCCTCGAGAAACCACTAAAGGGCTGACAGCCCAGCAGCATCCAAGTGCTCACAACCTTGCATTCCTTTTCATGAACATGCTCGTACAGACCAGCAACCACGTATGAACGAGGAGGCCTCCAAGAAAGCGAACCCGACCTGAGGAGGAGAAGTAGAGTGGGCTCCAGTTCTTCCGCCACAGGCAGAGCACAGGTTAGACGAAGGCCTTGAGCGGGAGTATCGACAGTCACCCGATTTCTTGCTTGCTTCTGCCAAGGAGAATTATCTCAAAAAGAAGAAGAACGAGGTGCATGCAAATCGTCGGTGAGCACCTATGTGGGACAACACGTTTTGGTCGCAGGCCGCTCGAGCATTGGAGCAGTTAGATGGCAACAAGCTGAAGGGGCGACTTCAAGTGAAAGATAAGCACCTCAGATTCAGATGACTGTGCAGAACAGCGTGGCTGTGTGTTGCCTACTCTTTCCAAGCAATTTCCCGCATGCCCTTGTCAATTCTCAGGAACGTCATGGCATCAGAGTACTTTGGTCATTTTTGCATGCTGATGCATCTGGAGCACATGGAAGAGCTTCGGCAAATCAGGCCAAATTCTCGGCACGGCTTCCATGGACCCGTGTGAGTGTGCGGGGTGGAGGCGGCGCACCGAAACCATGGCGGATGGGGAGCTACAGCGACTGGGCTGGTGCTTGGATGGTCTTCCTTGCAGCTTGGCTTGCTAGGCCCCATTTGGCAAGCAACAAGACAGCTCGTCGAGTCCAGCAAGCGTTCATCGCGCACCGGCGCGACATGACATTCTCTAAGCTTGCAGGCATTGGGATCTTCGGCAGACGCGATCCGAAGAAGACCACGATCATCGGCTCCTTTGCTGCAACTGGCCGGCCAAAACGGCATTGGCATGGAGCATGAGATGCGTTCAATGATTTTTGCTAGGACGGCCCCAAACCCAGGCTGGGAAGATCCGGGGAGCGAGATGGGTACACTCCAGCTTCCACCAAACACGCAGCCACCTGCCAATGTCAATATGATATGCAAAGCGCACAGGGTCTCTCTCCCTCTCTCTTTCTCTCTCTCTCTCTCTCTCTCTCTCTCTCTCTCTCTCTCTCGCTCTGTGATTTGCCGTGCGCCAAAAAACTCAAGACTCAAGGTTCGACCGCTTGAAGTTCAAGAGAGGTGATTCCGTGATCATCAGCTCCTTGGCCTCAGGCAAGGCCAATGCCAGCCCTGGCTGATTCGGTGACCTCTGAGGCGAATCAAGGCAGCAGGTCCGAGTGAAGGGCGAGGCCTTGGAGAAGCTGGGCGAGGGCTTTATCGCCGACATTCAGCTGCTCAGCCTGCAATGTCGACGAGACTCCGTGAGGGTTGTGTGCAGCCTCTGAGGTTGCCTCGTGGCCGCGACGGCGAGAGCAAGATGATCGTTCGTCTTCGTGGATGTTGGCCGGATGATGCCATGCCGGGAGCTCTGCGAAATAGCAGTTTGAGAACTGTTTCAGTTGTCTTTCTGAGGGCGCGGCGATGGCGAATCGACAAGGGGGCTAACAGCACACTCTACGAGCGGCAGCTCCAGGCAATGCTCAATCTGGTGAACAAGGAGTGCCGCGGATCAGTTGAGGGAGGGTGGCCGAAGTGCTCTTCTAAGGCCTGTCTGACTCTTGATCAATGTTGCAGAAGCTGACATGGTCGTAGCGTCGAAAAAAGAGAGCTCGGCAGGACCGATCACGCGTGCGCGAGCCCTAGAGTCCTAGAAGAGCGATGGCAAAGCACTGAAAGAAACTGGCAGAGCAAGGCGGAGTCCTCTGCGAATTCTCTGAGGCCAGAGCTCCTGATCTCTGCGAAGGTCGGCTTGGCAGACAGCTGGGCCAAACAGTGGAGGAAAGGTCAGGGAGTGACAGAAGAAGACAAGGAGCTCGCTGCAAAGGCGCCCACGAACTCAGAGCGGCACGAGGGCTCTCCACGGCTCTCGCCCTGCCCCGTGTGCCTTTCAGGCAGCGGAGCAAGCAGAAAAAGATGTCCTCAGAGAAAAGGAGGCTCCCAGGGCAATGCTCTTCGGTCCGATCGCGTGCAGCCGGCCGGCATTCTGTTTTTCAGAAAGCAAACGTGGCTGCTCCCGCTCCAGGCAGCAAAGCTTGCTAGGCTGAATCCTGGCGGATGCGAGTCCGACAAGCTGGCAGCTTGTCTTGCATGGCTTCGGGAGCGTCTCTTCTGCAGCTTTGCCTTGCCAGCCCCGAGGACAAGGCACTGAAGGAAGTACGGACCCTTTCTCATCTCAACCAGTCGCAGCGGGATGCAGTGTTGCTCTGATCATGTCTTCAGTACATTTTTACTTGCACATGCTTGCAAAGCCGCTGAGGGACATGTCACGTGCCTGCCCTCGCGATCTCAGGCGCTCAGCATTGCGGACCACCTGTACAGTGATTCAAGGCCCTCCTGGCACGGGCAAGACGCACGCCACCAGGTTGCACTGAGTTTGGACATACAGGTTGCACTCGCGTCGCGAACTGAATTGGCCTCAGGTGTCTGTTCAGATCATGAAGATGTGGTCAAAGACCCTGGACCTGTCACCTCTGCTGGCGACTTCTGACAGCTGCTTGGCACTGCCTTGGCACAGACGAAGTGTTTCAGTGACGTCGGTGTATGTCCGTGTGAACGATGACGGGTCCAGGCAACCCGGCGGTGGACAACATCGCCATCGGACTCCGGAAAGAAGGCGTCCGGGCAGTACGAGTAGGTCGCCCAGACAAAATCAACCGGATCCTCGAGGAGATCACGCACCTTGCCCGAAGTGAGCCATTTCAGCATTACTCTGGCCCAAGTCTGGCAATGTATTTCTCGTGGCATGGACATCGCAGGTTGGAGTGCTTGCTAGACAAAGAGAAGGAGGAAATGAAGAACAGGCTCGCCGGACTCTGACTCGCGACGGGTTTTCCGCTCTGAAGCTCCTCCAGGCAATACGAAGCGCGTTTCAAGTCCCGATCGCGCTCCAAGACCGGGAGTCCGCAGCGGAAGGCCGTCTCGAGATCCAGGCCAGGTCGAAAAGTGCGATGAAGAGTGAAGCAGCTGGAAAGCAGCTTTTCTTCAAAGGCGTGCTCAAAGCGTGCGCAGGTCCAGGTCCGGTCCACGAAAGGGCAAAGGTAAAGGAAAAGGGAAGGGCAACGTGAAGAACGACTTCGAGCTTCAAATGCGAATTCTGCAGGCCTCTGAACTCCTGCGTTTTCGGGCTGGGCGCGCACAGAGACGCCATGTGTGCAGGATGCAGATGTCATCTGCACGACCACGATCTCCTCCGGCCAGGGTCTCAGTGACAACACCGTCGACTCCGCTCCGCATCGCTCCGCTTCGCTTTTTGCAGGCGGTGACTTCTTCTCGAAGTTCGCCTTCGCTGGAGTACTCATCGATGAGGCGGCGCAGGCTACGGAGCTGGCCGCGATCGTGCCCCTCATCCTGCGAGGTGCCGATGCAGAAAGCAGAAAGCACTCTTGTCAGAAGTCTTCTGACGTAGTCACAAGCAGCGGGGCGAGTCGCGCAAAGGCTCGCAGCGATTGGTCCTGGTGGGGGACCAGTGCCAGCTACCTCCGACTGTGCAATCTAGCGAGGCACGGGGAACAGCACGGTGTAATGACTGACGTGTACGTGACCCAGCATAGTCTGCATGATTGGAGGCAGAAGAGAGAGGTCTCTCACTGTCACTGTACTCGCGCCCTTCGGATGCAGTTTAAGGGTGCAAATGGAAATGGCTCAACGAGGGCTTAGGGCTTGAGGTTCCTTGAGTTTCCGCGCCCGCGAGGAATGGTGGACTCTGGAGGGCTGATGCCTTTTCTGTTGGACACACAGTTCAGAAGTCACCCGGTCATCGCCGAGGACGGGCACAAAGGAAAGTCTGTGCTCTCTCTGTGCTGCCATGGATTCTTGTTCTCTTCTGCCTCGGAACAGCCTAGCCCTGTCAGTTCTCGGCTCGAACCTTCTACGCCGGAAAGCCACTTGGAAGCCGGGAATGAGTGGCTCGACAGCTTTTGGCCTGAGTTGGGGTGTGGAAGCCGCCCAGGTTGAAGTCCGGCATTCGCGCCGAAGACCGAAGACAGATCCGCGGCTGCTCGTCGCAGGACGTGCGCAGTGCAGCTTTCGACGAAGGCATCGCATGTCTAAGGTCTCCCTTGGCCAAACCACATGTCGCCCATCGGCTTCATCGAGTCCAACGGTGCCGAGGAGGAGGAGGGCGAATCCAAGTTCAATCCGACGGAAGCGGAAATGGTGCAGAGACTGGTTCAGGCAGTGACGATTGCTGCAAAGAGTGTTTGCTGTCCTTGAGATTGCAGACTGACGCTAAGCACATAGAGATTGGGCAGGATGCCTTCTTCCAGCGCGAACTGGAGATCACCGAGATCGGGGTTGTGACCCCCTATGTTGCACAAGTGCGTCTTCTGAAGCGGACCCCAGCTTAGTCGACTGACCTGGGCAGCCTGAGATGACGGCCCTCACTTTCCGTGTTTTGCAATCGAATCAGGAAAACTGTTGATTAAGAACGGGGTCTGCCCAAGCACTCTTCTCATTCTTCGAAAGATTCGGGCGGTGTGCATCGCTGAGAGAAGGCGGCAGAAGACTCGCGACAGGAAAGCAACACTGAACAAGATTCGGCCACCACCTCGCGACTGTGGGCGGGGTTCCCGCCAGGAGAGATTTGACTTTGAATCGACCGGGAGACTACTTCCATTCAAACGCTGTGCTGGCTCTGTTGTCGTCTGGATTCAGTCTCAAACCTTTCTGTTTGCAGGATTTTCTTCAGATCGAATTTCAGAAACGTGCGGAAACGTGTTCGTCGCGTTGAGTGATCTTTCCCCGAGTCGTGAGGATGTGCAAGCAAGTCATTCCTGAAGGGATGGACCCAGACCTCTTGGAGAAACTCGGCGATGGCTTCTGTACACGGTGGACTCCGGTCGTTGCTCCGGCCTGGTAAGGGCCTAGCAAACATCCTGCAATCTGAGGATTGCTTCTGTGGATCAGTTCCAGGGTCGAGAGAAGGACTTGATAATCTTCTCCGCCGTGCGCTGCAACAGGCGCCGGGTGGGCATGCCTGAAGCAGAGGCTTGATTCAGCAGATGATTCTTTCAGTAGAGATGGATTTCAACCGGGCCTTCGCATATCGTATGATGTCGTATGCTTGATCTGCCTTACTCGATGTGACTGTTTTCTGCCTGGACAAGGGTGCCCAATGCAGGATTGGAAACGTGGGTTTCCTAGCCGACTGGCGGCGGCTAAACGTCATGCTCACGCGAGCACGTCGAGGAATGTGCCCTTGCTGCCGATGGTCAGAGGTCTATTTTGCTCGCTTTGGTGCACATGTGCTCTCGGCATGGCTACCCGGTCTGAGGGTGGTCGTCGGAAACTCACATACATTGAAAGCAGACGAGCACTGGGAGAAGTGGCTCCAGTTCTACGAGAAGGTTGCTTCAGGCCTTGCTTGGCCTGGGACCACTGACACTCGTGTCAGACTTTCAGTGCCTTTCAGGTCGCGCGCGTTCTCCAAGCCCTTCAAGGAAGAAGCAGGAGGCGCCTCCGAACGAGACGGAGGAGGAGAAGGAAGCGCGACTCAAGAAAGAACGCCCCGCGGCGGCACGACCGGAAGCTTTGAAGCTCCTCCCACTCCCAAAGTCTTAAGGAATTGAAGCCGCGAGAAAGCTGTCAATGGCCATCCGCTTCCCGGGTCTGGCCATGGCGCAGCAGAAGAAGAAGGCGCGAGAGAGACGCGAGAGACGCGAGAGTGGCAGCGAGAGAGTGGCGGCGGGGTCTCAGTGGCGGCGGTGGCGGCCCGGCCTCTCTCATCGCAGGAGGAGCAGCGAGATCGCTCCAGATCCTGGTCTCCAGAAGGTCCCGTCGTTGTCGGTCAAGCGGACAGCAAGTTCAAGGCCCGGCTCCATGGCTCTCGCCTGAGCCTCCGTCCAGATTCTCCTCTCGCTGCTCTCTTTTGAGGCCATGGGCGGCAGGACGAAAGCGCGGATCAAGACGCCCTCACCCGACCGACCCACGAAAGTTCAGAAGGAGACTGAACAGTCGGGGCACGGCTTTGCAGTAGCCTGCAGATCTGCAAGTGACCTGCGAGGCTATTGGCATAGGGCGCCGCAACAAGGCCGCTTTCTCGAAGCGCAGTTGTCAAGACTGGTCGTGAACATGGTGCCTTCTGTTCTTATCCCGTGGTCGCACGCGTACAAGAATACCTTTTGACTGATATTTAAATATATAGATATATATACATGGTCAGACACGATAGCAGACTTTCCGCTCCCCCAACCTCATCGACCAAAGGATGCCTCCGCACAGGGGCCTGGGGAAAGAACGGCGACACCACAAAGCGATGACCGGGCTTCTACGAACGAGAAGGTAAACTAGAAGACCATATCGGGGATCGCCTTACTGACAAAGGCGCCCACTCCAACCCGAATCCAAGTTCAGGTTAATGCCTGTTGCAAGGGGGATTCGAAAAACCCGAGTCCACACAGCAAAGCATGCAAAGAAGGCAGTAAAACATCCTCCAGATACTCTGACGAGACACGTGGGATTCTGATGCTATTGTGCTTTTGTGCATCTGCCTCGGTCAGGGTGACGAGTTCACCAAGCCCGCGCCAAATGGAGCTGGCAAAGCGAAGGCCAAGGCCGGACGATCGGAGAAACCGGAAAACCGCATCAGAGGTAGAGAGAGAGAAGGCACCACCCGAGATCTTTGCTTTGGATCTGCTTTGGCTGCCAAAAGCAGCTTGGGCTTTGCGACTGTATGCGACTTGTGACTGCCGGGAGGCCAAAGCCAAAGTGGCCATAGCATCGGATTCGGAAGGCTCCGCGCATTCCTAAGATGAGATGCCACACGCGACCAGCACATCCGGCTGCTTCTTGTAGAAGGCTTACAGTACATATGGTTGCTGACATCTGCTGCGACAGTAGGCCAGGCATGCATTGGTCACTAGTGTGTGTCTCGCGCAAAGTGCCACCATGATGTGATGGTCGCAGAATGATAACGCGATTATTGCGCGACTGGAGCAGCCGGCGGAGGTCAATTACTAGGGCTAAAGGTCGTATAGAGTCTATCTAGTTCTGTCTTCTGGAATTGCTCTCCGAGGATGCTCTGGTCACGCCAAGCCTCAGGGCGCTTGCACACTAGTGCTCACTCCGTTCAGACGAGGGGCGGCGAGATGCGGCGTAGGGCAGCCATGCGACACCAACGCCGCTAAGCAAGAGGCCTTCCTGGCCCATATACATGCCGGACAGAGTCGTAGCGGCTGCAATGCGCTCTCCCTGATGAGCTTGCCTTTGCCAGCAGTCAGAACAAAAGCATGTCATTTTTTGGCAGACAGATGAGCTTATGATGAGCGAGACGATTGGAAGTCAGATGCAGCATGTGGACAGCTCTTGCAAGGTCTGCTGCCAGCGCCATCCGCTCTGAGCAAAGCTCCTCGCAGGCTGTGCGATGTGATGAGGGGTGGTGTAGTCCGTCAGAGGCCCTTCGGATCAGGAGATTCCGATAAACAACGTGGGTGGAAGGCTCTCTGAAAGCTTGCCATCAGCTTCCAGCAGACTCGAGGCTTCCCGGGCGCAGACCCCGCAGCTCGACCAGGCACCTCCATGGAGGCAGGATCCCTAGATGCGCCATAGCCTTAACACGTGCGATCCCATGCATACGGAGGCGGCCTGGTCCTTCGGGTACCGCAGGCGCATCACGTAGCCGTGTCTCGGACGAAAATCTCAAATTGCTCAGTTCTGCTCGGCCCAGCTGTTTCGGTGCACTTTCCAGCAGCGAAGGTCCTCAATCACAGGGTTCAGCCAAGCCTGAGCAATCACAAGAGCATCGGCCTTACTCGGAGAGTTGAGGGGTGAGGACCGTCGGGACTTGCAGCTTTGCAGCGCGGCTACACGACCCTTTGTCGGTTCCACAAGGTTTGTTTTGGGCAGCTTCGGCTACAAAGCGGCAGAATCCCGGAGCCAGTCGAAGCTCTCCAAGGGCTCCCGGAGCACGCGCCCGAGCACAACGGGCGAGCCTGTGCAATTGGACGAGTACGGTTCATGTCAGTGGACCTCGCAACACTTTTGCTTCAGATTCGGCCTTTTCTGCCTGCCGGAGCTTTTCTGGTTCGAGTGTTAGCAATGCTCTCTCGGGTGGGGGTCCAGCTGCTTGGGCCGAACCGCTTCGCGAGGCCCACACGGTCAGGTTCCGTCGCTGCGCACTGCTCTGGGTTGCAGGTGGCGGAACAGGATGCGCTTCGGCAAGAAGTCTCGTGACGAAGACCTCGAGGTGGTGCCCGTGATCGGCAAAGAATCGGAGCAGGAGGAGCCAAGTCGCGGGGCGAGCCGCAGCGAGCCGCAGCGAGCTTCGAAGCGTTTGAGCGGTGTCCCCTTTGAGGATCTCCTCGAGAGAGGCGCGCCGGTCGAGACATGGCAAGACGTGCGCCCGAAGAGCACGGTCCTAGGAGCGCACCGGGCGATCGGGCGTTTTCTTCGCTTTGCTGCGCTGAGCCTCCTTTGCTGCCCGACTTTCTCAGGAGCTGCGCTGATGCTGGCTGGGATGTTCTTCCGCGACTCTGCCATGGGTCGACGAGCGATTAGCTTGAGTGTGGCAGTGCTTCCTGGCAGCTATATACCTGGTAGTCTTTTTGTCTGAGACAAAGCGGCAAAAGCAAGAAATACGGGGAGGAGAGCCTGAAGCTAGAGCCTAACTGGAAGGTTCGTCTTGCTGCTGCTCGAAATTGGTGCCATCGTGTACTACAGCAGCGTACAAAAGGAATACATGACTGCGCTCCAGGAGAAGAATATTGATGCATTTTACCATGGACTCTGGATGGTGGGGGCGGTAATCATATTCATCAGTCCAATAATCGCACTTCATGAGTACACATCTGGCAGCTCTGGCACGCACTGGCCATTGCTTGTTGCAGTAGGAGTGACATTTGATGATACTTGTGCCTGCAACAGAACTCGCAACGCAAAACTCAGGCATGCTGAAGATGACATGGCGTGCCTCTTTGACCAGGCGTTTCGCTGGATTGTATTTGGCAGCTCCTGGCTACTGTGAAGGCAATCCATTCTACCGACTGACGCTAACCGGAGAAATCGACAACCCTGATCAACGCATCTGCCAGGCAAGGTTGCCCGCTTTTGTCTGGTGTAGCTCGGCTCCTTGACAGCTGCCGCAAAAAGCCACCTGGCAACCTCAGGACGTGCACGAGTTTGTCGGCATTGCTGTCCATTTGGCGCAAGACATAGTCAGGACCGGCTGTGGCCGTTTCATGTCTCAACTTTCAACCTACTCGGACACAAAGGTGCCATGCATTTGTTCGTGTGACGATGCAGCAGGACGGTCCTGAACATAACGAGCTTTGCAGCCATCCTGTACTCCATTTCCCCTGCAGCCTGCTATGGGGTCCTGGTCTACTCTATAGTGGGCACCATCGTTGCAACGAAGGGCTTTGGACCGTGGTTGGGATTCTACCAGCTCCAGCGGGTCAAGCAGGAAGCGGGCCTTCGCCGGGACCTGAGTTTGTTAAAGGTGTCTCCACTAGCCCTCATTGCGAGACTCGCTGTTGTGAAGGCTATGACTTGATTCGTGTGCGGGAGAATGCCGAGTCTGTGGCTTTCTTTGAGGGTGGCGAGGCAGAGTGGTCCAAGTTTAACACCTTATTCTCTGGACTGCTTCAGACGGTGTACAAGAGCGTATTGGTCACTTCTGGCTTCGGCATGTTCAACCGCTCGTTCCATTGGGCTACCTTTGCAGTGGCACCTCTCCTTGTTGGTCCTGCCTATCTGCGGGGTGAGGTGCAGTTTGGAGTCATCTCCCAGGCCAGTATGGCCTTCAATATCATTTTGGGAGCAATGACACTTGTCATGGACAAGTTGGAGTCTTTGACGGATGTTGGGGTCCGCGTGCGCCGGCTGGAAGATCTCGAATTGTCCCTGAGGAAGTGCCAAAATGAGATGCAGATGTCTCGTGCCGCAGGGCTTGCTGGCGTGCAGTGCATCGCAAGTGCCGAGCCCGGCCCCAGCGACACAGCCATGCTCCGCTTCTGCAAAGTGACTCTCCGCACCCCACCTCGTGCAGGCATCCTGCAGCAAACCCTTTGCCACGATTTGTCTTTCGAGTTGGTGAGCAACCAATCCCTGCTCATTGTCGGCGAGAGTGGCATCGGCAAGAGCTCTTTGCTCCGTGCCGCAGCTGGCCTGTGGACAGATGGTCGAGGGACGCTTCAGCTCTGTAAGCGACAGCATGTCTTCTTCATGCCGCAGAAGCCCTACATGTTCCTGGGGTCACTGAGGGACCAGCTGTTATACCCTCATGTGGAGGAAAGCTTCATTAGCAACTCTGACTTGGAGAAAGCTCTCCGGCAAGTCAACCTTGGTCACTTGCTGGAGCAGCACAGCCTCTCAGAGTCAAAAGAATGGGCCAGCTTGTTGTCACTAGGACAGCAGCAGCGTATAAACTTTGCTCGAGTGCTGTTGCGCTCAGATGTCAGAATGGCACTGATAGACGAGGGCACCTCAGCCTGCGATCCGGCTAACGAGGCTGTGTTGTATGAGTTGCTTCAGCAGCGACTCTGCAGCTATGTCTCCATTGGTCACAGACCGGCGCTGCAACGGTTCCATAGCCATGCGCTTTGGCTTCACAAACCGTCGCTGGAAAGCGCCGCGTCTGCATGTTCTCCTAGTGCTGCCGATCTTACGGAAATCGAATTTATGCCAATGGCAGAGTTCCAGGCTAAGAATCCAGCGCTTGCGTATAGGGAGTAGGTAACGAGGCTGACAAAGGAGCCCTCTCGGAACGATTTGTACAGTGCGCTGGAGGGAAACAGCTTCGCGTGAATTTTGCCTTTTGCTCTTTCTGCGCTCGCCAAGTTTCGCGCCGACGCATGTGTTAAATGCGGCGGTCTGTTTTCACCTAGCTGAGTCCAGAAGCGGTGGGCATGCCCCGAAGCCACTCGTTACCAGGACCGCACATTTCACTAGGTGTCGTGCCCTTTGTGTGCATGCCTTGGCTTGGACCACCCGTTGACAACCTACTAATCCTGCCCGCTCAGCGGTCGATCGTGCAATGGACTCATCAGAGCTCACTAGGGAGTCTAGGTTCCTAGGATGCAGACATGTCACCTTTCGGCGCGCAGGGAAGACTGCGCTTGCCCTTCAATGCAAGGTTCGAAAAAAGGTGTCGGCAGCCGATTAGACATTACTGTAGACGCTTGAGCTGAGCTTGGATTTTGCTCTGTAGCTGCGGAGCCTCAGTGCATGTCGCGCTGACAGGGTCCGTGCCCAGCGATGCCTCGTCACCAGAACGGACGCGACCAGCCCAGCCACTGTTCGTCCCAGACACTTAACAGACTGACACCATGAGGATGCTGAGGCTGCAGGCTTTTGAGCCGCCATGCTGTCGTTTGTTCTGCCGGTTTACCAAGGGCATCTGAGGCGGTGCGTGCCTCATCAACGTGCAGTCTATTCTGTCTGACGAGCTCGCTGTCCTGCTATGTCATGTGCTGCCGCAGCAAGAAAGGGAGTCGGGCCTGTCGAAGTACATACCTGAGGGATAGCTGTACCAAAACTTGCTGAATGCAACGTGAGAAAACCAGCGGCCGTCTCGAAGGCAGCAGCATGCGACTGAGAGCACTCACACCCTGGCCATGCAGGCAGGCCGCGGCCAGCACTCTGAATCTCATGCCGACGGAAGCTTACAACAAGAAGCAACACCGCAAAGCCTAAACCGTCCAGCTGCGAAGTGCCATGTGGGCACGCCGAATTGGCGCGCCGGCACGATGTCCATCGCAAACCCGTGCCTTTTGGCAGAATCACATGCGACGCTGAGGCACATGAAGCGAATCTGACAACTAGTTGAATCTGATGGTCATTGATTGACGGCTGATAAGAGCTGACACAGAGCATCTGGCAAAGCAGTCTTGCTAAAGCAGTCTCTGGTTTAGAGATCGAGGTCATCATCCAGAGCATGATGAACGGAGCCTTGGCTGTGGCTGTGGGTTTAGACTGAGGGATCTGAGGGCTAGCGGCCAGAGAGGATGATTACATGATAATGATAAACACGTATCACCGTATCATTATATGTCCCATTGCCTCCATCTCCCTGTGCATGTGTTCAGGTCTTGCAACTTGATTCTGCCTTTCAGGAGCGATCGGACTGGTTGTCTACCAGTATATGGTTCTTTGGCAGCAAATCGGGGTAAGTGTATCTGCAGCCCGCAACTGCTCAGAGAAAAGAATAGAAAAGATGAAGCTCTGCTTCAGGACAGCTTGTCAGCAGGCAATTTGGATTACACTTTGGAGAGCACCTCGGCAGCACCCGGCACCTGCGCCAGGCCACGCAGGGAGCCTTCAGAGCCTTTGCTTTGCAGCTCAGGTGTTGGTAAATCAAACCTCACCTGCCTCACTGGCTGGCTCCGCCGGAACGAGCTCACCTCTTGGAGCCCTGGCAGCGACTCAACTCAGGCGTCCGTGCCTACTGATGCAACCAATCCACATTTGCATCCTCAAGCCGGCGCGCAACGAGTTAAGCCCAGGACTCAGTACGACACGTGGAGCCGATGGTGGGAGCAACCTGGCCTTGGGAGCCAGGGCTGAGAAGCAATTGCATCGATGTTCAGTTTGAGCACCTAACTTTAAGCCTTTTGGTTCGCAGCAATAGTCTTGTGAGATTTTTTTTCGACGATGCAGTTCATGAAGCAGCAGGTATCAAACAGGTGTGGATGACTATGTGGTCAACAACACGTGCGTTCCGTTTCCGGTCGATGCATACGACCAAAGTTGCAGGGATATGCGCCACTTGCCTGCAACTTGACTTGATCTGCAAGCAGGTTCTCTTTTTGCATAGTATTGTGCTGAGGCGTTCCTGTGCATGAGTTCGAGAACCGTCTCGGGTATCCGCTCGGTCTGGGTGAGAAGGTGAGCGTCAACAACGAGCTCTTGCATCTATGAGGCAATTGGCGGGCCAGCGCTAAGCCTCTCGCACGTTCAACTGCAAATGCAGAAATCATTTGTTGGGCCCCTGCCAAGGTATGCGTTCGCCTATACATTTTTAGTACTGGGGCGACTCTGCAGCAGACGGAAAGTTAGCTTCGGTCGCGCATTGGTGGTGTGGGGCGACCGGTCTGGCCAATAAAGCAAGCTAGTCTTGACGAAATAGCCAGTGCTACGGTAGACTTGCTTTGAGGATCCTAAACTTGATCGGCTTTGCCATCCACGATCTCGCGCTCCTTTCTAGGCCTCATGAGAGGTTTCACTACAGCCTGTCATGCAAGCATCTCCTGCCTGCCTTACCCAGCACGGCAGATCTCAGCAGAACTATGTCCTCGACTGGCCAGCTTTCAACGAGGGCCTCTCGGAAAGCGAGTGGAGTGAAAGAGTTCAAGATTCCGCTAAAGATGGGCCAAGGCTTTCCCATCTTTCGACGGTTCACGAAGCTTTCAGGCCCTGCGTCGCTCTGGTAAACGGGTGCCTTTTTGGACGAGTGGCAGACCGTGCATGCTTGCACCGTCCGTGGACCGCTGCAGGTATTACGATACTTCGGGCTTTGTTCTCTATCGAGGGCACTGGCAGCAAACTGGCACTTCTGATAGGGATCATCCTGCACCCCGGCCTCAAAGCCGTGAGGTTCAGTAGCTCTGGCAATGGGGTTTCAGAGGCTGGTGGATTTCGAACTCAGGACCCCAATCATTACCGCCTGGGCACTGCTGTTCCTAGTGTTCATCGTGACTCCCGCGCTGCTGCTCTTGTACGTCCGCTATCCCGTGCCTTGATTGCATGTCCACCGGCAACGTCTGGCTTGCCGGCTCTCTTCCGCTGCAGCCTTGCTGTGTCGGGGCGGCGTGATCCGAACTTGTGCTGACATCGTTAGTCACCGCACCGGTTATTCCGCGATGCTGAGGTCCGCCTGAGCCGCTTTGCAGTATTTCTGACGCTGATTGTGGGCGCCCAAGATTTGCAGCTGCTGAGCATGCCTGGTGCTTGCTTGATGTGGGCAAGTTCATGTGCACGCAGGCGACCGCCGTGTTCGGACTAACGATGGCGATCATCCCGCTTCTTGGATGCTGGAATGCGGGGCTGCCTGAGAAGTCAGTGCCGGACATGACTTGGCGCGGTGAGGCTCGTGTACTTAGTCAATCTGGACGAGCGGCCACGATATGCATTGGAAGCTTGTCTGCAGACAGTGCCGATCTGGAGATGGTTGAAGTGGATTTTGCGAAGCGTTGCAGTCCGGTTTTCACGTGCGCCGAGCATGAGGTCTTTCAGGTGCAAGACTACCAGCCTGGAACCTGCAGTTTGGCGCAGATCTCTTGCATGGCCTGTCAGTGTTTTTTCGACGATGTGTCATGACTTTTGAGCCGCTCGGACCGTGTCAGTCCTCGCCGTCGTCAGTGCAGTCCCAGGCTACTGCGGCTGCTCCTACTTCATCAATGCAGCCAGCCTGGTTCGAATCTTCGCGATCGGCGCGGGGGAAGCTTGTCTGCATGGTGACTTCAGAAGTGAGGTTGCCCTCTGTGCCTTGGTTGGCGCCACCAGAGTCTCAGGTGGTCTTCACCTCGTGCCTCTCTGCATTCCGCTGCCTCAAGGGCCTCCGACGAGCACAGTGGGCGAACCTGATGCCCCATGCCTAAGACTCGAGATTTTTGTGCACAGCGCAAGGGCCCTGACCCTTACGGTAGGCATCGGTGTAGCGTATGGCAGTCGATGCAAACACGTTATGAAAGTGAGATGTTCAGTTGTGCAGATGCGGTGCCTGCTTTTGGGGACTGTGTCAGGTCGGTTCTGCAACTTGGATGCACTCAAGTGCTTCAGGATGCTGACTCTGAGCCACGACTAGCTGACAGCTACAGCAACCTAGCTATGACATTGCCAATCGGAGGTTTCCCATTCCTGTCACCGTCTACTCCGTCTTCTGGAAGACCCCCAATGACGAGCCAATTCGGCACAGAAAGGAGTCATTGCGACAAACTGGCCTTTGTCTTGAGAATCACTATCACAGTGGTGGAAGGAGGGTGAGCCGGTGCAATCGGAACTAGCCTTCGATCCCTTCGCCCTGATGGATGAGCAACCGGAAAGCAGACTCTGGGCAGAAATTCGACTGGGAACCAACTTCTTTGGGTTGTTGGGAGGAATTTTTGACGCAGGAGGGGGTGCAAAGGCATTGTGTATAGTTCCTTGATGACTGTGACTGTAACCACGGTCCGAGTCCGACTTTCGGCTATTCGGAGTCCACGTGAAGTATGCGTTTTAGGTCAGCAAGACGGTGCAGTCGCTAGACTCAGTAGACCTACCATCGTGCCAGTCAAGTGCCGGAGCCTGCCGTGTTGGAGCGCGAGAGAGGGACAGAGAGAGTCAGGATACATGACGGCAGCTTGGATGCGATAGTGCAGAGTAACACGAGGCTGTCTTTGCGTAAAGCGCCATGCGGCTGGAAGAACATGTGTATGCCAAGGTGACACTGAAGCCGGAGTTTGCTTATGCGCCCCGCTGAAAGATGCCAAATTGTTGCGTAGACCCATCACAGCTTGCTCCAGGACGTAGATGAACGAGGGCGATGGAAGCCCATGGGCGACCGTATGATAGATGGGCCGAAGCTGCGTGTGCCCAAGTGGTGGTTGGGCGTCTAGAATCGTCACGGGTGACGGGTGAGCAGAAGTGCACGCTCGTCAGGCCAGAGTTGAAGAAGGGCGAGCTTTTCAAGTGCCTGGGATGCAGGCAGATGTCAGCGAGAGCCCCTATCGTCTCGAGACTGATTCGAGCTTACAGAATCACAATCTGGAGCATGAAGAGAGTGAACGTTGCCGAGCGGAAGGGTGCAGCTAATAGCAACAGGATCTACAGGCCTTGAGGGTACGGTGAGTTGACCGGATGATGTCACTATTTGCGCCCGTTTGCACCCCCAGGAAGAAAGACAGACAGACACCACCATGTTCGGAGCAGCTTGTGCGGGGCATGTAGGCGAACGAACGTCTCCGAAGTGTTGTTGCTGAGTGTGGGCTAGCTAGCAGCTAGCTGCATCGGGAGCAGAGATTGGATATCCATCCGAGCGTCAAGTTTCCGTGACGTTGGAAGGATATCAGTGTTTCGTGTTTCGTGATTGCTGAGGCAACCTACAGAAGTAAGGGCCTCGGACTTCAGCTGCTTCAAAGCACCGTGCAGTTGGGAGTTTTGGTTCTGCTTGAGCATAAAATCAAAACATTAAGTAACGAATGTGTGCTGAGAAGGGCCGAAACAAATCCAGACATCAAGATACGCAGCCCGTGGTCGAGTTTTCGCCTGAATCGCAAAATCTCTCGCTTCTTCAACTTGTACTTGTATGCTCCTTAGAACCATGTCTGCTCCGTTGCTTCGATCGTCAAGATGGGGTTTCGATGCTGGCATAATCCAACGCGAAATTATAGCTTGCTACTATGCTGGCAACTACCTTGTGTCCATGGTATCTGTCACACAGCATCATTGAATCAACACTGCTGCAGGTGAAAGCTCACCGGAATGACGAGAGACAGTACAGCATGAAATCGCAACGTCTTCGGTTGGTTTAGACCTTCTCCCTCCACACTTTTGTCTTGCAGTCTCTTGACTGCAGGGTTGAGCACTGTCAGATGTCACAGCGGTTTTTGAAGGGCCCTCGCGTCCTGCACGTGTTCGGGCAGTCCTGGGGAGCGCTCCCCTCTTGTGGCTGCCTGTGCGGTGAGTTCTTCTTGGGCACATCGTCTACAAGATTGGTGTGCTTGCATCAGGGTTGCACCGTTTGTTCAGTCCAGGGCTTCGCTTGGTTCCCGGGATCGCCGGACAGTCTTCCAAACATCGGCAGATCTCGGGACCATAGCAATCGGCAGAAAAAGTGATAGCATCGGCGCGATCGTGTGTCTTCGAGGTGATTGGATGCTGCGGCTTCCCTTGCCTCACGGGTGGCTACCAGGCAGAATGTTGCAAACTCAGGGTTTCATCATTGGCAAGAAACGCATGTGACAGGTCATTTACGTCAGTGACGACGAGGAGGACCCCCAGGAGCCTGCTTTGCAGCCTGGGACTGACACGTTGAGCACGCGGAGGTTCTTTCAGCCTTCGGCTCTGTCTTTACGCGTTCCGCTTGCTTAGGCCACTTGGTTCCCTGGCTTCCTTGGAGGGAGGGCTGAGTCCCCAAGTGCTGGGGGTGGATTCCATGGACACCAGCCGCCCGGTTGCAACATGTGCTGCAATGAGTTTGAACGATACCGTGCAATGGCACATACGTGCTAGCCATTCTTGCATCGGAGTCTAAATGAAGGTGCGGAAGACGCCTTGAAGAACGTTAGGCGGGGCATCCACATCATCTGTTTTTGTCGTGCATGCGTGGTACTAGTAGGAGAAGATCTAACCAACGTCTGTTACAATGATAATGTGTATTTCTCAATTCGACAGGTCGAAACACACTGCCGCGTCCAAGAACACGTCCGGCCCCATGACTCGCAGGCCAATTACGCCGTTCTGTGTTTTGTCACGGGTGGAAACATGATTGTAGGACTCGATAGCCGGAGTCAGCTGCAAGAAGCAATGACGTTTGCGAGTCAAACGCCTGTGACCGACTGCGCAGATCTACAGGTCCGTCTTCGGGCACCGTAACTGCACCCTGGAGCTTGTAGATGCATGAAGAGGCTTTCAACAAACGCTCCATAAAACTATCGATTTTGGCGGGCCATTCCAGAAGCATACGTAACTAACCTCATTTGACCCACCTGGAGGGCCCGTGGTGAGTCCAATGCGTCAATAGAAGAGAAGCCTGGCGCTCAACTTTCCTGGGACATCGCAAACGCGTGGCCGAAGCGGGCCGACTGTCGCCTTTGGCCGAAGTATCTTGCACTCTGCGCTCTCTGCGTGCCCTGCTGCGCTGCCGAGGACCAAGACACGCTTGCCCAAGCACGTTGCACAGACCTCAGAATCTTAGCGGAGCGGTAGTGGGTCGAGGCTTGTGCCGGTCTCGAGCACTTGTGACCTCAGCCGTGCATCAGAGGGAGAGAGACGGAGAGAGGGAGAGACTCCCTGCCCAGCTGCGTTGCTCAAGGCCACGCTGAGATTGGCTCGCGGAAGCGAGGAGACCTGCGATAGCATCGGCAGTTTTGCTTCTGTGGGCCAGGGTCCAAAACTCAGAAGGTCAAGCGGAGCAAGTCAATTCCAGAGGCAGCTTCTTCGCAGACAGTGAAGCGTAGACAGCGGAATCAACAAGCACCACACACGGTAATGAACCAATGCTGGTGGTTCAGAAATCAGCCATTCGGGCGACTGGCAGGAGCCGGCCAGCAGAACTGGATCACCACTTCCGAGACGGGCACCCAGCGTGAAGCTGTGCAGTAGATCTAGTTTCGACACATCGAGCGCGCCGGGATGACCAGAGACAAGTTGGGAGCCTTGTTACTACTTGCTGTCTGCAGGGTAGGTGATTCGGAAGTTCAGGATAACATGATTTGGCTTGACCTCTGCACGCAGGCCCTGCTGCTTCGAAGGTGGCACGCTTTTCTGGGTTGCCTCTGCTGTTTCTGCTGTTGTCTGTCCGCTAGTACTGGCAAAGAACCGTGTCTTCAAATCTGGAGTTGTTTTGCAGCAGTCTTGCATCAGGCCGCACAACCAGCCCCCGGGCCTGAGAAAAGTGGCAGCGAGATGAAGCTGTCACTTTGAGCCGGGGCTTGAGGTGCACAGCTTGGGCCCGCGTGTATGCCGAATGGCGAAGCTTTTCATGAAATTCGTCGCACCACTGGGGAGAGCACAGTCGGCAAAGCGCTGCTTTCTTTCAACCCCAGTGAGGAGGGAATCTTCATGTCAAATGCAGAAACTCAAGTCAGCCGGTCAGCCGTGCCTCCGACACTTGCTGTGAGCACCCGCCTCAGAGCTTAGCGCAATGGGCGCAAGACACTAGTTCTGCTCTTGTATGCGTGTCCATCGCAGAATCTGCGATTGCGTAGGTTGCAAATGCATCGCCCTCCTGAGATGATGGCAACATTGGGTTCGTGGCATCATGCAAAGCCAGATGACGCGACGACTCCAGCAACAGGGCAGGGAAGAGCGGCTTGGACTGCTGCACTTGTGATGGCTCGAATAGAACGAACATATTGTATGTGCACAGATGCCCTGGGCACCTGGGTCCTGAAGGCAGGTGCAATAGCGCTAGTATTCAGGCGAGGTGCGATTCCACAGACAAAGTCTGGCGGAATTCGCATGTGCCGCTGTTCTGATCCGGAAGCCGGGTTGACGTTAAGCGAGGGTGACTCGCAACGCAGCTCAAACTTCTGCTGACCAGTAGCCAAAAGTGTTTGGCCTGATGTGCTTTTGAGAACAGAAGCTACTTGTTTGCCACATCTGAGCATGTTGACTCATGAGCTTCAGGGGCGCCTCACACCGACTTCCTCAGCTGGGACTCCGGTTCATGCACACGCCTCGAGATGCTGTAATTGATCCTGCGGGACTGCTCTCTGTTTGAGGCAGTCCCACGTGAAGGGCCGCAAGGCAAGAATGGCGGAGGCATTCGCCGGAAGGTGATACTCGCAGATGGTCCCTCAGTCCAGCGTGTCACTTCGCTGGCGCAGGTATGCATCCGCTTGCGGCAGCCGATTCCTTGATGGTCAACTCAATCCCATCAGGCACATGACGGAAAAAGCAAAACCCTGCAATTGCTGGGGTGGGGTAACAAAGCCTGAATCTCTTCGTTTCCTCCAGTACGTTCTGTCAAAGCTACGGAAATGCTTACACAGGAGATCTGCGTTTTGGAATCCATTGCTTGCACCCCACACCTTGAAATCCAAAGCTCTGAACTGAGCTTGTGGAAGAGGTATGGATTGTGGCAGCCGTGAATCACAGCCGATATAATTGACATTTTGGCTTCCCTGGGTTCAACTGTACGTACAGTGTAGGCACGGGCTATGGTACTTGGACTTGCAGCAAACGGCAACACGCATCAGTGCTCGGTTGTGCTTGTAATGCTGTTGGTGCCGTATGTCACCTACCGAACACAGCAGAGGCTTAAGTCGTCTTTGGACTCGAAATCAACGAATTGACGACCCCAGGACCGAGCTCAAGATCATCCGGAATCAAAGCACCCATACGACATGCGATCCAAAGACGTGACAAGAAGAGTCTTCAGAACTCCTATGTGGAATGCTTTTGCTCGTGCCAGATCAACTCATGACGACTGGGCAACGACAAAGACGGATCCTTTCCGAGGCCAATCACAGGCAGGAGCTTCAGCGGCTTCGACTGCTACCCGAAATTTGTCAGAGACGTTTGGGCAGGCAGCGGACGGGGAGCGTGGCTTCGAGTGGCCCAAGCCTCGAAACAGAGAAGCTCTGGCACGGCGAGCACAACTTTCAGAAAGTTGACCTTTTCGCCACAAGGCTCAATTTGGGGCTCTTGGACCAACTGAGATGAAATTGACCCCGGCCTGCCCACAGTGCGCTGCAGACGAAGCATGGAAACCAATTCAAGCTAGCTACCGAATTTGAGCTGCAGCGAGCCTCAGTCCTCACTGCATGACTCACGTAAGTAAAGAATCAGAAAACGATTCCAATGCGGGCTGCCGGAGCATGGCGGAACGCGTTCGAGTCTCTCTTCCCGCAGGAGCTCGCCAGGCAGGACTCGGGAGTTCATTCATCCAAGACTTGGGTGATTGTTCACGTGGATCGCGCAGGGGAAATCTGGTTTTGTAGCCACTCCGCAGCAAGCGGTTGTGAGGTCCATGCGCTGCCGCTGAGCGACCATGAGACTGCTGTGCTGCGCTGGACAGCCGTTGTCCTGGACGAGCGCATCCTGAGCATGCAGCATGAGTGGAGAGCTCCCTTGCTTCCGACGTCTCAAACTCGAACTGAAGTGGTAGTAAGGACTTACGTGGCAAACGGTATGAGAGATTTGGGAATGCTCGGGGATCGTCGTTAGCTAAGGCACCGTGGAGCTTGAAGTTTGCGCGCAGCTTCATTCAGAGGATCCGGGCACATGGGCAGAGTAGTAGAGCGCTCGTTGCAAGCTCCAACCCTCCAGATCACATCCACGGCCACTGCTGGACCCAACGCCAGCAGTGGAAGTTAGTTGCAGGAGGGCGCCCAGCGGATTCAACTGGCTCGAGCGGCCTGCGGTGGAACTTTCGCGCCTCGACAGATGCAAGCTTCCAAAGGCTTCTAAGCCGGCTGGTCATCAGACGTCTACAAACTGAGCTCCAGTGATTATGGATCTGTCGTTTTGTGCTGCCCCGCCTGCTAGCTATTGACTTTCAGCCAAACTGAGGTTGGCCGATTCGTGCCGTGCCGACCAGTCTGCAGTAAGCCCGATTTAGAAGTACACTTGTTGCGTAAAGCGTGGCAAGGCGAAGATCGCCGCCTAAAGGCCGTGAAAGCCAAGTCCAAGCAACTGGGCCCAGATATTTTGCTTTTGCGGAGCGGTCAGATACCACGTTTGCCCATTTGCCCCAAAGTCCCAGGATCCTGGACTCTGTGGTCTTCTTCTTCAGCAACGCTTCGAGCTGGTTTGCGCACAAAGAGGCCATGAAGCCAAGGTTAAATTCAGGCCGGAGGGAAAAGCTTGGGAACGTGCCGGGCTCAGGTGGAGCTCATCACGCTGTGGGAAGACCTGCCGTTCCAACAAGGCAGGAGCTCACTCCATGGGACACGTCTGCAAAAGTTTGTGCAATTGCTAGCAACCGAGTCTGCAGACTGAAACACGTCAGCTTCCGGCTGAGGCCGCAGCATGTCACCGGCAGCGAAGGCAGTGGAGGACAATGGTCTGTCAGACGTCCTGTGGGCTTCTCGCCCCAAGCCTATTTGGTTGAAATCGTCTGCGAGGAGTCTCCAGCGTGTCCCTTGGATCCGCTGATACCTCAGAGCTTGCATACACTGTCGTACAACAGTCTAGGAGAAGACAACACATTGAACTAGTCCAGGCGTGCGTTGCAAGCATGAATGAGAGGATCGGTCGCAAGTAGCTGAGGGTTAAGGACATAAAGCCCGGCAACTTGCGACTGAATACAGACGGTGGGCCATTGCATACCTTGTGGAATATCGTGCTAAAGGTATCCGGATGAGGACGGCAACCAAGAGGACGATTGGGGCTATGGCTGGGTTGATGAATCTGGCCGCTCGGATGAAACATGAAGCTTTGCTTACATAATCACAGTGCCTTTGTCATGCTGACTGGGCCGTGACATGCCCATTGCTCAGCCAGGCGATACTGTTGATGCGTCACCGACCCCATCGACAGAGGCATAGAGTCTTATGCAGACCTTGCTCCCAAGAAGCCCAGTGCTTGTCTTATGCCATGCAACGACTTCCCGCCCTGGTGCGAAAGGAGGATGAAGAAACTGCGCGGAGAGCTCGCTGCATGACGGGAACAGGGCTTTGCATGGAGGGCTGAGGTTCTGAGGATTTCTGAGGACTTCACTTGTGATTCAAGTCTTCCGCGAGTTGTCCTCTCGCCCAGGTGCCCTTGCAAAGGCGCAGCGCTACGGCCATGCAGTGTGAGCACGAGCGAGCGCAGCCCAGCGCGACCTTGACCATTCCTTGATTGCAGGTGCTGTCATGCCAGAAGCCCTGGCATTTCTGTAAGATTTCTGTAGAGTCTGTAGAGCCGGTGATGTGCAACCACGTCACGTGCTGCGATCGTATAGGCTACCAGAGGCTTCGCTTGAAAAGCTTCGCTGCGCAACACCAGCTTTTAGTCATAGATCGAGTCAGTGCTTAGGGATCGCCAAAAGCTCGCGATCGAGGTCTGAGTCGTAGGAGCGGTGCAGCAGGTGGCACCGGTCGAAAACAGGACGAAGCGATGCTTGTGCAAGGGCAAGGGCAAGGGCACGGCAGCAGTGCGGTGCTTCCGTCATGTCCCGTTGACATTCAACCACCTGCAATGAGGAAAGGCCTCGCACACGGCACCGGCAACTCGGCTTGCTTGCTTCGGACAGACTAGGGATTGCGACCATGTGTGTTTCGGCAGGAAGGCTGTCAGTCTCGCAGAAAGCACGGCAGTCTGAGTCTGGACAAGGTCTTCGGCAGCCTTGCGGCTGAATGGCCTTTCCATGCCCTATGTCCTACACATACGACATAGGACGCAAGATTCGTTCACAACTTCCACACCCTTACTTTGGATATACCCGGCACGAGATCCGACGTGCTGCGTGTGCAGTGAGCTTTGAAACACAATGGAGACGACTGCTGTAAAGACGTCCCAGCTTTCGATTCAAGCCCTGTGGACGCCACAAGACGGCATGTGCTTCGTTACAGCTTTGCAGACGGGTCCAAGTAGCAGTGCACCACAGCATGTTCAACACAGCCCGAAGCAGAAACTGTTTGACGGGGATGGGAATCCCTCCCTCCCTACCTCGCCTCCCCTCCCTCCCCTCCCCTCCTCTCCTTCCATGTCTCTCCATATCTACAGTGGCAGGCTACTTAGGCTGTCTGTGGAGCTCCAGACCCTATTGCTAGCTGCCTTCTTGAATCCGGACTGTCAGCTGCGAGACTCGGGGACTCCCTATCTACTGTCTTCAGCTTTGTCCTTTCGCGCCCGTTCGCAGCTGGATGCTATGACTATCGCCGCACGAAATGCAACTTTGAGGGATTGAGCTCAACAGATTGCAGGATGAAAATGACGTTAAACTCTAAGCAGTTCCGCAGAGCATCACGTGCTTGCAGCACGCCGTGCGCCGAAGGTTTCACTGAGGCCCGATATAAAGTGCCCGATGGTTCTTTTGCTAGGTTGTCAGCATGGAATGCGCTCCCGTACCTGTGTCGGAGGAGCCAAGGCATGGTAGTAAGAGCTATAAAGCGGAAGTTTGCCATTCCGCCTGTTTCTGTAATACACCGGCAGGTCTCAAACCTCCTCCAGTGCGGCATCCAAGGAGGACCTTGCGCAGTCTTGCATGCATATCCTGGTTCAGTCCGGCACAGACCGCAGAAACCCCGGCCTCAGCTGCAGGCAGCTTGGGGAAAGGCGAAAGAGGTGGGGAGTGGCTTATGCCCGGTGATGCGCTCTTTTATGCTCTGTCGATTGGCTGTTCCCAGACTAGCATGCTGCAAGCATCAGCTTCAAATGTCCCTGTCCTGATCAGAAATTCAAGCGCAGCCGAACGGTGCCCACCCTGCCGGCACCTGGAGTCATAGCCCGAAGATGTTCAGTAGCCACACAGAGCCAAGGCAAGCCCCTCCACTGCTAAGGTCACCAAGCCGCTGCTGCACAGCAGCGGCAGCACACTGCCAGCTCTTGAGGGTGCAGAGGCCTGCCTTCGCCTTCACAATCGCGACGACACGACGATGCAGCCCATTTGCACGACGCTAGCCGCTAGCTGAACAGACATCGCACTGCTCGGCAGGGTGATCGGCGATCAGGCTCCTTGGCTGGTTCTGCGTCACGCAGACTTCAGGGAACGCCAGCCTACTCGTACTAGTAGCTACGCTGTAGAAGAGTGCAGGGATTGGTTCAGTCTGCCACAGCCCCTGCTAAGACCCAGGCTCGGCAGAGGAACTCGGTACCGCCGAATTTCCGCAAAGATCAAGGCCAGGCAACGGTAGAGGCAAAGGCGGGCAACTCCTGGGTCGAAAGAATTAAATTGCCCTGCAGGCACAGCCGAGATCGCTTCGGTTCCGAGGAGTGGGATAAGGTGGAGCTAAGCCAGAAGCACTGCCAACAAATGCTGCAAGGGTGCCGTGTGCGCAGTGTATTCCAAGCGTGAAGGGTGGGAACTGTCTTTGCGAAGACGCCCTGATGTTGCTTTCCTTTATCATCAACTTCGGACAGCCAAGCGACGTAAGTCGAGACGAGATTCGTCAGCGAGGGGTTCGCAGAGACGGAGAAGTCTTGGCATTGACATCATATGAAGATTCATCCAGGTCGTGGGTGGTGTGTGGAAAGCAACTGACAATACCCAGAGTTACTCTTCCCGGAGGCACCGGTGAAGCCGAGATCGCGCGGAACTCGATGCATTCGGTCAAAGAGATCTTCCAAGGTGTTGCGTCCTGCGAAGGAAAGACATGATGGTCACCGCCATGCGGAGTCAGGAATGGATGCCTGGAGCCCAGTTCCTGCGACGTTTAGGTGACAGGAGACGTGACAATGGCGACCACGGTGTACGGGTATCTGAGCATCTCGCCTCGTCCGAGGTCCCGAGTGGCATGAGGCCAGGTCAACTGCCGGTCACAACAGGACACGGTGAACCGGATGTTGTCAGCGTTTGGCAACTGGGCGAAGGCATCGCCTGCTCCGATTGTTTGCCCCCTGACCGCGGCGGAGTAGCTTCAGGATTCCTCGCCGCAAGCTGCGACCCTGAAACGGGAAAAAAGATCCCGATGTCTCACTAGCGTGCAGCAAGCGCGACCGCTTCGCCTGCTGGTTTTGTCTTTAGTTCCATCGTTCCACGGTGCCAGCCGTTTCAAACGTCTGACAGTGATGTCATTGGAAGCTTCTACGGGTTCGGGAGGCGAGAGAAGCTGGAAGTGTAATTGTTTAACAGCAGCTAGCTAGCACAACAATCAAAGGGTCGAGGCTTCCAATAGCTCAGAGTCCAAAGAGTTTGCTGGAACGCCCTTTGGGGCCAGTTTGGATGGCTTGCCACACATGGAGGTGTTGCAGCTGGCCGCCGAAACTTAGAATATTTTCTGCATTTCGCAGTCACAGGCTCATTCCATCCAGACCCCTCGTGCGAAACCGACACTGTTTGTCAAACCCGCCGTTCTGCTGAGCAGCTGCAGGGATGTGAAGGTATCACTGTCTCACCTTGACAAGGAGTGCAAGCAGACTCATTGTTTGCTAGCACGAAAGAGCATGGCTCCGGCAAAAGTCGTGGCAGCTCATGTTCTCGTGCGTGCAAGACAGGGTTTCCATGTTATGCCTGTATGCGTGGCACTGAACATGGGCACAGCCATGCGGAAGGACATGGTCAGGACATTCGAAACAAAACTTGGTATGAACGTTACAGTCCCGGACTCCTTGGCACTAGGTTCGCCATGCGCACCTTTGCCTGATGTGCTGATGTGAGCCTCTTCTCCAGGTGCCGCCGCCTCAGAGGAAGTTCTACGCGCTAGTCCTTTGAAGCTTGATGCGAAGAGCAATGTCTAGCACAGTTTGGCTTGGCATCTCAGTAGTCCGGGTTTGATGCAACTGGAAACCTTGCTGCTTGTGCATTCTGCACAGTTTGGCACGGCTCATATGGCTCATGCCTTCTTGCAGCTTTGCGGCTCACAGTTCCAGTGATTTTGATCTCCGCCGTCTCGTGGAGCTTTGGCGCAGCGATGGGACGCTCGACTAGGTGACGAGTTCCCAGTCTCTGCCGGTAAGCCTTAGTTCCTTCGGTCGGGTGCGATAGCCGATAGCCCAGCAGGCTTGCAGAAAGACCTAGTGGCCAGGCTAGGAGCACTGCGGGCCTCAGCCCAGGATTGCTACGCTCGGAGCAGATGAAATATGGTATGTGCTTTGGCCGCTACAGAGATCTCCGAGGCCTCCCCGCATGACTTAGTCTGAGGCTCGTTCTGCCGGTCAACGAAGCACGACGCATTGTTGGCCAACTAGGGAAGGACTCGAACTTGCAGCGGCTAGTCAGCAGATGGTGGTGAGGGCTGGTGAGACTCTCGTTTGCCTCGTGTGCATTTGAACGAATATTTGTTAAGCGCTGGCAAGTTATAGGTTCGAAGACGACAATGCGCGTGACATGCGCCGTCCCTACCGGAAACACATCCAGCGAATTGATGCTTGGATGAGGTTTCGAAAGTTGGGCACGCCGGGAGTACCGCAGTGCATCTGTGCTGGACTTCTTTTCTTGAGCTCAGGACGAGATGGAGCGGATTATCCGGTTCCTCATTCAGGAGATTAGCTCGCTTGAGGGATGCCAACTGATTAAGAACAAGGCCGGGTTTGAAGAGCCGAACGGCTAACGAGTTGCTTTGCACTGGGCTGCGGGCCTGCATGACTGGTGCAGGTCGATGAGTTCCTACAGACAGACGACACTTACACCCTAGAGGCTGTTGAAGGTGAGCTTCAGTCGTTGTACCAGAACTTCCTCAGATTCAAGGAGTTTGAAGCTGTGGAGATGCTCAGTTTGGTGCTCCTTCACGCGACATCTGGCAGGACAACAACGTCAATCTCACAAATGAGCGCAATCAGGCGGGCAGACGGCTAGACTCGGCGAGACGCGGCTGGACTGTAAGACAATGAGAGGAGCAAACACAGTTCTCTCAAGTTCACACAGAGTGGCATCGGCTTCGCGTTCTCGGCTCCGCTTTGCGCGCACAGGCAGTCGAGGAAGCCGAAGTGGTGGCCGTGGCGCGTGCTGCTCGGACTTTCAAGCAAAAGAACACCCTCGGGGCTTTGTTTAGTCACAGCTAGTCGTTCCAACAAAAAGCATGTCGGAAAGCCAGTGAAATGGCACAGGAAATGCTGACGGGCTCTCGACCATCTCCTGACTACGTGACAGAAGAGGAAAGCTTCGAGAGCAGCGCCAAGAAGCCTTTACTGGCCACGTGGCGGCAAGTTGGCCAAGCACCCGCTGTCATCGGCTGTTACTTTGCCGGCGTCAGTTGGGCGAGTCGCATCGGGAATTTCACAGCCATCGGCGCTGCGTTGATCGAGCAGCTATGAACGACGACCATGAATGTCCAATTTCCCAAGCTGTAAGTCGCATGTGCGATCAGCCATCTTCGGCCCATCTTGCGTGTGGTTTTATTTGATCTGAGTGCCAGGGTGGTGAAGAGGTGGCCGTCGGCACTGGCAGGCGTGCTGACAGTGTACGAACATCAGATATTGCTAGTGACCTTGCCGGGACATGTCATGCAGGCTAGGCTATTTGGCTGGAGTCGTGCCGAAGACGGATGAGGCATGGATTGCTCCACGTGTAATGGATGCACTGCGACGGAAGCCCTGGGCAGTCTTTTTGGAATCAACATCTAGTAACAAGTACAGTTGTGGTCAGGATTTGCCATCATGTGCAAGCACCGCATCATGAGCAGTAGTATGAAGCTATACAGCACATAGAGATTGAATCCAGAAGCGGAGAGCAGCGCACACGAAGGCACGCTTCGCCCGCGCACTTTGGCGGGCGGCACGTGGCAACACTTTCACGTGCTTTGGATTCACTTAGCCCAGGGATCCTTGGAGAAGCCTTCTTGGGCATTTGCTAAGTCATCGAGGCAGTTCACGCCCATCAGCCAGTCCGTGAAAGATCCAAAGACAGGCCTGGAACAAGACTTGATGCAGGACAGTCAGCACTCATCAGCAGGATCTCGTCCGTCCTGAACCAGGTCAGGATGTGCAGAAGTCCGTGTTCGTCGTTTACTTCCAGGGTGCTGGAGGGCCCATGCAGCAAAAGGTGCTGAAGGTTTGTTCTGCCTTTGGAACCCCAGCTGCAGTGCGGACGTACTACTCATATCGTGAGCTTTACTGTCGCCTCTCGTGCAAGCCACATGCAGCCTCAGACTAATGACTGCTGAGGTGTCAACATGTACAATTGGCCAGCAAGTGCCGAGCTGGCCAAAACCCGTCATGCTCACTTGCTTAGTGTGGTCAGATCCTTACTTAGGGGATGTCTATCCCGGCAAGACGCTGAAAGTTACAGGGGCAGTGCAAGAGATGCTTCGCCGAGGGTCTCGCAAGGCTACATCGTTATACTGAGGTGAAGGAGAAGGACACGGCTTTGGAGGGCTATCAGTTCTTCATGAAGACAGAGGCCAAGGACCTTCTGGCACCACCAAGCTACATGGCTTAACGGAGGCTACTTGGCACAGATCAGCCGGCTACACGCATGCCACTGGCAAAGGTCAGAACCCGCAAGCCAACTCAAAGCTGGAAGAGTGGCGGCTGTTCTGCATCAAGGCACGGAGATTAGGCTGTACCTGTACAGCTGTACACCATAGTGATGGCAGCCGTGCGAGGAGAAGTCCATCTTCAACATCCTCAATCTCTGTTCAGGGGAAATTGCCTTGAGGTTGGCTTGCACAGACATTTCGTTGGGTCTGAGTCTTTCACGACTCGCTTGTCAGGGTGAATGTTTGGTACCCGGCTGCAGAAGAGGCAGGGATCAAAGCCTTGCTGCAGAAGCTGAATGCAGCTTGCCGGCAGGACCTGCACCCCTCAAACAGACTTGTGACCAGATGTAACCAAAACTGCCAGAAACCTGGCTGAGGCAGGCTCATCCCAGGGTGCTTTCCTTACTCCGGACAAGAACGTGAAGTCTGCACCGCCGACCTATATTCGCGTGAACGACTACACCGAGGCCACCGTTGCCATGCCCACACACCTGCAAGTAGGGGCGCTTTGCTGCATTGCAGGTATGGCAAGATGTCATCGACACCTACGGAATTCCCAAATATCAGGAGATTGTTGGGATAAATTGAACCGGACCGGAGCCCAGCACTGTGCTCAGGAGGCCAACCCTGCCCTCCTCACCGTGGTCACCTTCCCCTTCATCTTCGGTATGATGTACGGTGATGCAACTGGCCCAGCCTGTTGTCTTTAGTGCCCGATGCAAAGCTTGACTTGCCGTTGACATGAGGTGGGTCATGGCATCCTGCTGTTCCTTGCTGGGATCTGGCTCTGCATGAATGCCGAGACTTTCCGATTCACCCAGCCATCCTTGTTTACAGCCCGATACATGGTTGTAAGCTTAGGCCGCTCGGCAGCACGCGCAAGCGGAGAGTGTTGGCACGAGCAGTTCTGTGGCAGTGATGTGTTCACTTGGAAAGGCTTCTTCGCGATTTTTGCGGGCTTCATGTACAACGATTTCTTCTCAGTGGGTCTGCAGATCTTCGACTCTAGATACAAGGCTCCCGAGTTCCGCACAGAGGGCTGAAGGCGGGCTGGGCTGAGCTGATGGCAGGATGCAGGTGGTGGCAACTTCGTTCCCACCTTCGATGTTACCTTGCATGCAAGCAGATGCGAACGAGTGTAATTAGTCGACATTCAGCGGCTTCTGAGCCTGAGGTCCCCGTGCTCCTTCCTACCTTCCTAAACAGAAAAGCTCGAAAGCGAGATGTGGCTGCCCAGGTGAAGAACGAAGGCGGCCCAGGACCATATCCCTTTGGCCTTGACTGGGCCTGGCACGGAGCCTTGCAGATCATACTCAACCACAATTCATCTCTGTCTTTTACAGCTTTCTTCATCCTGGCCTGCCACGCTGTTGCTCAGTCGTTCCAGTCTTGCTAGCAAGACAGCGAAGCTATGCCGAATCCAGACCAGTTTCTGACATCCGGAATGCCGAGGAGCGAGCAACGAGCTGCTCTACGTGAACTCCCTGAAGATGAAACTGTCAGTTCTGTTCGGAGTCCTGCAAATGACAGTGGGCCTTATCTTGAGGCTGGACATGCACTGCATG